ATCTGCTTGCCGTTGTCGGCGTTGCATTCCAAGTTTCCATCGCATTCATTGCTTCGTCTTTGCGGCGAGAAAACTGTGACTTTTCTCGATTTCTAACAACCGTGTCGTCACCACCGATGGGGATGTTAGATTAGATTAGGCGCTGATGGTGGTGGTAGTGGTTAGAAGGAAGAGGAAAAAGGCACCTAATTTCTGTCTGCCTTCAGGCGACACGGCGCAGTGCCTCTCTCCGAGGCCACTTTATGGGTAGTGTGTTCAGCCACCCTCTCTCGCCATGCATCGCGTGAAGCGGCGCACGTGGACAAAAACCCGGTTCTCAAGGCGGCGCTGCCGTAGCATGGGCTGGCAGCGCCGCATATTCTAGTACACTATAGTAGAGTGTACTAGAATAGGTTAGAGTGTACTAGAACCTATTCTAGTACACTCTAACTATAGACACGGTGACGACGGATCTTCGGGGGTAGGCTCGTCACGTGCTTCCGTTTCGCGCCGCGAGTTCGCAGGCTGGTAGCTTTCGCGATTAGTTCTGGCGTCACGACGGCGCGCTGAATGCAATGCAATGAATGCGACAGCAAAAAAAGTTGTAATGTTGTAAGAAGTAAGGCTGGCCGCCAACTCTTTTGAGTCCGATATCGCGGAACTCCTACAGAACGCTGGCGCGAGCAAATACGGCCGCTCCAGGGAGAAGTGCTCTTTTCGCACAGTCCCTTCGCGTTGAAGTCGTATACTGATGCTGGCCGAGATTGCGAGCGCGCCAGGGATCGCGACCGCCCTTGAAATAAAAGTTCATTATTGCTACTCGAGCGACCCCACCCCCTTCCCGCGTTGTTTCATGCGTGTTCAAGACGGGTTAGGTTTACTTTCCTTTTTGAGCATTCGACGGCAGCTTTAACGCGCGAGAGATGTAATATTATGAAATTTCCTGGCAATAGGGATGGGCTGACAATTTTATCTTTGGTTCAGCAGTGCTCGCGCGCTTTTTACCCGCTCGTGAAAGTTGCGATGCGCGAGGGCATGTTATCAATTCGGACTTGTTGCGGAACATGGCGGCGACGATGAAAAGCAGCCGAGATTGTTTCATATAGTTGCTATCGCAATAATAACGCAGTTTTTTTTTACTGTAAAATAAGTGTTTTAGGTTATATCTGCCTTCAGTCTCCCTTTTGTTTAATTTGCGCGTTTATTTTCATAATGATCGTACCGAACCTGCATATAACTAAAACCTCTTCATAACTAATTCTTCCACGAATTTATCAATTTCGTTGTATCCAGGTTTTAACTGTACATGTTTTTCAAAGCTTGCAATTGAAGAGCGTGATGACTTATATATAGGTCCCTTTAAGAAATATCCCAATGCCTGCCCCCTGTGTAGTTTCGGATTTGCCCGCGTCTCCAGTCGCATATTCCTCGTCTGCCATTTGCAGTCGGACCTGTAGTCGTTTTTAACGGAGAGGAAAATCCCCTCCTTTCTGGGCTGCTGCACGGGAGTACAAAAGCTGACGCCACAGCTTCGGCCCTGCATTGGGGGGGGGGGGGGTGTAAAGGGGGGTCACGCATGTTAACAACAGCCCAGAGGGGCTTATGGTGGCGTCCAGGGAGCCTTCAGTAAAAAAGGCCTATAGATGCGCGCAGCGAAGTTCGCGAGGTTATGAATGTCATCGTAACTGCTTCTTGCTTCAGATGAAACATTTTGCATTTCCCCATCGATTTAGCGAAGTACAGCATTGTGGCGCACTTTCGGTACAACGAAGTGTTGCCGAGCACATCGCTGTCTTGCGCCCTTGTTACATATTAGAGGGGGCATCGCCCCCCTTTCCCTTTCTCCCGACCTTGATAGTATATAGAGAGTGGCGCGATTCGGTTTATAGTGATCTTTATTACTTGAGCGTCGGCAAGCTGTGGTCGCCCCTCCCCCACCCTACATCCCCCACTCACCTACCCCGCACATACCTGTGATGTCAACTACTGCTAACTTGATGTTCAGGAATGCGCATCGGGGCAGGGTGGCCGCCGCCTCCCCCTAGTCACCGACAAGGGAGGGCACAAAGTCTGCCCCATACGTCGACTAAATAGAAGGGGGGGGGGGGAGGGGGGAGGCTGCAATGAACCTTTGCCTTTGACCCTGAAGGCTACCGCTGCGCGCGCCTGTGTTGAGCGTTAAAATGTCCCACATCCTGCCGATAGGGGCACTAAAAAGAAACATTGACTTAGTTTAAAATGACAAACGGCACTCTGATAATTCAAATGCCGTATGTTTCTTCATCATCAGTTCATTACTTGCGAGAACATCAAGGTTGAAATTTCATTCTTATATTTCGCGCCGAAGTTTCCGTGCGTTTCGAAATTTTCGAAACTTGCATTTTTCGTGGGCTATCGACCTTGGCATGATTAAATTTTCTGAAACTTTGTATGCTATAGGTCTGTGGCCCCCACATGACAATGTAATTCATTTTTTATCGATTAGAAGCCACGTAGGACCAGGTATACGCCCACAAAATCTATGACGTCGCGGTGTTTGACGCGGGAATCTCGTGGTGGCGTCTCCATCCGCATTTAATTTTCACACGTGCTCTCGCTTACCAAGCAGTAAGACTGTTCTTTTCAATAATGTGAAATTGTACTTTAACATTACGTGAAAAATCGTTTTAGGGACGAAACTCCTTACGCTATGGCTCAGTCCCTCCTCCGTAGTAGCGACTCCTTACTTCTCACATTATTCACTAGATGGCGCTGCGCTGTTGCAGCGCGTGACGTGATCACTAGATGGCGTGGACGCAGTTTGATAGGATGGCGGACAGACAGACACAGAACAGACGGAAACTTCGCCCACACTTGTCATCATTCACTCCATAGATATGGTTTGAACTTTTCTCTTTGGTGCCCCTTCAATAATTTAGCTTTCCTTTAGCCAGTTCGTCTCTACTTGTATAACCAATGCGTTAATTAAATAACGTCGAAGTGTACTGTCAACCACATATACAGCGTGGCTGCAGGAGGCATATGTGCGCGCATTCATTACTTCTCCGCGTCGAAAGACCGGGTGGGGTCGCACTTAAATAGCTATTCGCCGCGCGGGCTTAATACGCGACCGCTGGACGGAAAGAGACTGGCGTCATCCGGACGCGTGCGCACGGGCGCGTCTTTGTGTCGTCTCGTTTCCGCGGGATTTTTGTCGCATTCATCGCACTAAGAAAGAAAGAAAGAAAAAAAGAACCACTGAACGTGGAGTGAATTGCGCGAGGAAGCGGTGCGAGCGCCCTCTCCCGTGTACGCGTGGTGCCCTTCTGCTCTGCAGAGATATACGGGCACTGGTGCGTGTCTGTGTGTCGACGTCGCTTGCTTTTGTGTGTGGCGTCCGCGGAGAATGCGGATATACGGCGATGATTTGCCGCTTTGCCGTACGTCACCACAGCTACCTGTGCTATTATATACTATATAAAAAGCCGCGACAGAAGATGAGAAAACAATAAAAAAATATAGAGGGGCAGTTCTGGACCTCGTTTTGGTAACGCTCCTTCTGCTGCCATGTCGCGAGGGTAGTTGCGCAGGCAATATGTATGTGACGGGCATTTATATAGAGTATATGGTCGTGAAGGTGTGTCGGAGAATTAGGAGCGGTTACAGTACGCGTCCAGTGGGCATATGGTATAGAAGGACGGTTTTGATAGTTCAGGGCGTGGAGCCACAGTTTTACACATGGTGCTTCCCCATACCCTCCCCCGTGAAATTCCTACCCCATTGGTCCCGACTCGGTGTTCCGCAAATCAAAGGCGTAGTGTCTCTTTTCCGTGGCAGAGCCGGAGGGCGCTGGCTGAAGTATTGGAATATTGTGGTCATTGGGTGGCACGCCAAGCCACCTCCCCCCTCTCCGCGTGATTTTTGCCATGGCACACATAAAAAAATGCCCCCACCTCCTCAAAGGGAATCGTGAGGGAATGGGAATGCATTTCTTGCGCCGAGAGAGGGTACCGTTCACGCCAGGCATTCGCCATCACCTTGAAAGGCGCCCAGCAAGCGAGTGGTTGAGAGTGAGGAGCTAGCGGGAAGGGGGAAAGTAGGGCGCCAGCGTTCTCGGGTTTGGCGTTTCACAGCGGCGTCTGGAGCGCACTGGATTTTCTTGAGAGGCGCCCTAGTGGAGGTCAGTGGAGGCGCCCAGCCAGCGAACGGTCGAGAGTGAAGCGTGAACCGGTGGGAGAGGGGGTAGAGAGGAGAGAGCGAACGGCGAGAGGAGCAGCGGGGCACTGCAGCTACCCTCTCCTAAACTTCCTCCACACGTGGGAGCTCTGCCGAGTTCCCCCAATGCGAGCTCTCTCACACGCCGGAGAGCGCTTCTCCTCTCCACTCATTCTCCGCTACTCCGCCCGCACCACCTGTTCTGGTTGCTAGGGGCGAGGATAAGCGCGCGCCCGCAGCTGTTGTCGTGGGAAAGGGAGTGAGAGCGGAGAGAACACCTGCCGGCGCGCGGCCAACGCCGAATGCCTGACATAGCCCGATAAAGAAATGAAAAATGACCATTTCAAGGAGTAGCCCTCCCCCCAAAAAAATTTTTCGTTTACGCCCCTGAGCAGAGTGTTTCATCTCCTGTGTGCTATTTTTTATCCTGTCGGAAAGGGGGGGGGGGGGACTTTTATGATGGATTTTTGAAAACGTAGCAGATCTGCAGCTGCACAAAAAAAAAAAACACGTCCTGTGTGCTTGCCTTCCTTCGTCCTTGTAGCTTCGAGGCGCTGCTATGCGTGTTCCTTATTAATACTGAGAATTGTGCTTGCCTGACCTCGCCACTGCACACATCGAGGAGGGTTCCAGCCAACTATACTTGGGACGAAGTACAGCGGTGTGTCGCGCGTCAGCTTTCGCTCCACGTCCCCATTAGTTGACTGGAACTCTCCTTGCGTCTGAATTGAGAAGCTCGCGTACGCAGACTAGCTTATCAACTTTTTTTTTTTTTAATAGCATGCATTTCATGACGTGCCTCTTTCTGGTCGCTTCTCGTATTGCAGCGCGGCTGGGCCGATGTTCCTGGCCGAGCTAGACGTCGACGACGACGAAGTGTCGTCGGCGCGTCCCTGGTCGTCGCTGTTCTGGGGCCGCGTGGCCCGCACCGCTCTGCCCATCCAGCTGCTGCTGCTCATTCTGCTGGGCGCGGCCAGCCTGCTGCCCGTGTCCGAGGAGGACTTCAGCTGCGTGCTCACCAACAACTTCGCACGCTCGCTGGACCCGATGCTGCGGTACCCGCAGGGACCGCCGCCCGTCTAGGCCTAACCCGTCTGCCATCTTTCTTCATTCGTCCGCCAGTGCTGCTTTCCCACGGCGGATCAGCTCATCCGATCCGGTCGTAAAGAGTGTGTGCCCGCCATCTTGTTCGCGCGGCGGACGATAGACAGTTTCGTTCGTAGTGGACTTGTACGGTGTGCTCGAGAGAGGAACGAATTAAGTCTTTGAATTGTGTGTAGTGTCCGTGTTAGGCGGTAAAACAATCGTTGGATTTTATAACGACGTCGTCGTGAAAGTCATCTTTGGGGTACAATCGTGCGTCTGGATGACAGGCTCGTTTTGCGACTATAGAGACTGACCGACAACAGTGCTAATCCGCTGCCGTCGCTTTCGACGCGTGTGCAGAGTGATGTGTGCTGACGTCAACGCACAGCGAGATATTTAGCGGTCCGTGAGATCAACTAGGAAAATTTGTTTTCTTTTTTTTTCTGCCGCATTGCGATGGTTCATTGATTCTGTGCAGAATGGCACGAAATTGCGGGTTCAATTCCTGGGCCCAGAAGCCGCATTTAGGGGAAGGCGGAATGTAAGAACACTTAATTGTGTGCCCTGTTTTCTTTTTTTTTTTGTGCGTCTCAAAGACATTCAAGCTTCTGAAGTCTTCGGTACGCCATGGGCGAAACAGCGTGCTGCCATCGGCAATTTTTTTTCTTGGCCGGGAGAAAAAATTGGTGTTCGCAACCGCTGTAGCGCAAGGTCGTGCCTGGGAAGTTATTTAAATTTTTGTTAATTAGGCTACAGGCTGCAATTGTGCGCCAATTTTTCATGGAAACAGCTGGGCTCCCAAACGGCGATGGGGCAACCACACTTCTCTTTTTTTGTTGTTGTTTTTTGTTTCTTTTCTCGCTTGCACACCGCCCATGCCAAGAACAACGCTTAAAACATTACTCGACTTTATATACGGTGCGCTAACATTGGTGAGCTTTAGCGAACCGGGAATCTGGTGCTAGGTGCCGAGTTTACGCGCATGCGCAGAGGCCGGTCTGGCATGCGCGTTCATAGCCTCCTAGAGCCGAAACAGGAAGCTGCTTTACGGGAACGGATCTCCGGTTCACTAAAACCCCCCAAGTCGTCAATCGCCCATAACATGTTTGCCTTTCTGATACGCTGTGATAAGAGAGCAAAAAGGGAGAAGAAGAAAAAAAAAAGACTTATCGCCCTGGTGTGATGTGATAGCGCTGCGGTAGCTGGTGCCTTTTTTTTTTTCATATAGGAAAAGCTATACACGTTGCATCTGCATTTTTTTTTTTCGACAGTTTCGTTTTTCCTTGGCACTCTTGCTGCACCTTAATTTCTTACAGTAATCGTGCTACAGCTCTTTTTTTGTCGTCCTCGTCTCGTTATTGTCCCATTTGTCGACCCGTGTATCCTAGAACGGTTTTTGCAACTATTTTTTTTTTAAAAAGCCTCTCTAACGACGGACTCCCGAGATTCACGCACGCGAAAGCCCGTCCGTCTCGGAGGCCATGCTTAAAAACAGCGGTATACGCGCTTAACCGTGCCACGGCTACGAAACTGTTTCTATAAACTCATACGCCTTTTCGACTACTACTTTCGCGCGACAAAACCCTACGAGGGTAACGAATTACGACTTTCATTGTTTTTTTGCCAATTTTTTTACGAGCTCTTTGTACGATAAACCAACTTCGGCTCGCAAAAACCAGGGGTGGACGACTTCGTAATCAAGCATATTGTAACCAATTATCAAAGACCGCTGTTATTTTACACGCATGTTCAGAATATATATATAGGATGTTGTACTTATCTGTGTATCGTTTTAGGAAAGATGTTTAAATCATGAAACTCTTGGAATTAATGTTTGTTAGTTATAATGGTCTCTGTTGACAATCGTTTCGCTAGAGATGCGAATCTATTTTAATCAATTTGTGTGTCCTGGGTAGTTCTGGCTTGCTTCTATCAAAACTTTCGCTGCGAGTGCTTTGACTGCGCGAAAGTGATACAAACCCTGTTGATGCTTTTCAAGGGCGCGTGGTATATTTGTGTGTTGTCCTATCGTTTCAGTACGACTATGCATGTCTTACGAGCCGCCAAGGCAGCTGCAATGCGAGAATAGTGTCAATTGTGTTCCCACCTCCTTTCCCGGTGCTTGTTGAGCGTTGTTGAAAAAAAAAAAAGCCTGTACAGAAGAGCGAATAAAAGTGTGTGTGTTTGCCTTTTTGTGCGTCGTCTTCTTTTAGTGTGAACGTGCATCGCCGCCTCTTTTGTCTTTCCGAGCGTGGCTGGGCGCTCGTGCGATGCACTCATTACTGATGCAAACGGTGACAGAATGGAACTGAGAGAAAGAGAGAGAAAAACAATATAAATAAACGAACCCCAGTCCGATTTCAATAATAAAAAAGGTGAAATATATAAAAAAAAGCGCGAAACATCACGAAACGTCCAGGGGACATCCCGACGAGTCTTTCATGTAACCTAGATGGCTGATATCACTAACCGAGTCGCTGTACGAAAATTCGCCCGTCGTTGCATCACGAGCAGATGACGTATCTGCCACTAGTACCAGAGAACACCTATACACTACCATGCTAATACCTCCGTCGCGAGGTGATGCCTCCCCGTGACGTCACACTTCGATGACACGTCGATCAGGAGCCGCCCTCTTGATACCGAAAGCACTTCGATAGGTTAAAATACATTCGATGCAATCCCAGGCACCATAATACTCAATTTAGGGTCATCAACAACAGTGTGGGCGCGTGTGCTGTCGAATGTTCTGTGTTTATCTATCTTCCCTTTCGGCTCTCTATCTTTCGTCTTCCCCCTCCCATGCGCAGGGTAGCAAACCGGCTGCCTATAGGCTGATTGTCCTCCCTGCCGTTCTTTTCCTCCTATTTTTCTTCCTCCTTTCAACACCAGTGTATTCTATATGAACAACAATCCGAAAATGTTTTTAAAGTTCATGTCACTGCTTCATAAAGAATAGGAGTGGCTCCCGATGTTTCTGGGGGGGGGGGGGGGGTGCTAAGTCGGCGGCGGCCTCTCCAGGGGGCGTATACCCAAGAGGAGGTTGTACGAGTCAAACCACCTCCCGGAAATATTTTAATTTAACTTCTGTATGCACACACGCACATACACAAACACGTTCACGAACATATATAATGTATGGTTGGTCACTCATGCCCTCGTCCCCGTTTAAGCTTTTGCGAACAGTGAATATGTTTAGATTGATAGAATGTACTCCGATAATTCTAATGTTTTTTTTTTTAATTTCGCCATTATAGGTTTATTAATGCAAAAAAGAGTCAAGGTCAAAATTTCATTTTTTAAATTTTGCGCTGAAATACCCAGGCATGACGTGGCGAATTTCAAAGCGTTGTGCTTTTTTTTTCTTAGTTTGGAGACAGTGCCTCAGCTAAGTTTCCTGAAACTTGGAGTGCTATCAAGCAAATGCGTTGGTTAGGCCTGTGACCTTCTCAGAGAGAGAGAGATAAAACTTTATTATATCTATATACAAGCCGCGAGGGAGTATGTGGGTGGTGGCCCTGTGCGAGCCACCCCTCCCAAACACTAGGTGGGCTCCTCATTACAGAAGCCCATTGGCGTTGGTGACATTGCCTAAACTAAGTTTCCTGAAACTTGCTATGCTATCAAGCAAATGCATTGGTTAAGCCTGTGACCTCCTCAGAGGACCATGCACTTCACTTTTACTTGTTAAAAATCGAGTAGACGACTGAGTATGTGACGTCAGGACGTTTGGTAAAGGAATTTCAAGTTGGCGTTTGCGCTTCTTCCTTCGATCAGGACGTCTTGAGGGGCTAGTTGGTTCATTCTATTCAGGTAAAAAAATTGCGCTGAAATAGAAAGGACACCACAAAGAAGGAAGAACCCCGATCTGTTTAAGGCTTCTTCCTTCGCCGTGTTATCTCGCTTAGCAAGCGTCTTGTGAAGGACTAATTTATTATCACGAGAAAAACCAATTTGCAAGAAAAGGGGGATGGCCGGCCGGTCGATGCTTCGTTGCGTGTTTTGTAAAAAAAAAAAGTGATCACTTTTTTTTTTTCGGAAGGTGAGCTATAGGCTACAATAAACGGACAATTCCCCCTGCTGTCCAATGACCGGCAGGCTATATATAGTCTGACGTGAAATGATATTGGTGGGAAGGCTGGCTTCATAAAGGGAGCGTTTGTATTTGTCGCACGACGACGCAGAGAAATTCACATTTCCTTTCGTTAACCCATCCACCGCCTCGCAGGATTTCCCAGGTAAGATACGTGTGATCTTTTGCCCCTCCTCCTCCTTTCCCACTAGTCACCCAATAAGAGAGGGGGGCGCAAAATCTGCCCCGTATACAGTGACATAATTAATAGGAAGGGGTTGGGGGAGCGGGGCGACGAATTTTTGCCTTCTCAGATGGACAATTTTACGTATGCCTATTGGCCTTAACGTTCTTTGGTGAGTAAGCGGGCGATTCCCTTGGAACGATGGCACACGTCGATCACTTCAACTTACGTGAACTGCTGCGCGGAAATTTGGGGTAACAGTACTCCGATGCTTGCGTCGGAGCGGTAGTTTAAGGGTACGCCACACAAGTAGACTCGCCTGAAAAAGAGCGCCTGCAATCCCGGAACTCAAGAAGTCAAGACACCACAACGATTCTTGTGTCCGTACGTGTTTCCACGTTCTCTGTTTCATGATGAATCGTGGTTGTCAGCAGGGGGGTGCAAAAAGGGCACCTGCCCCCCCCCCCCTCCCACACCAAAGCCACATTTGTGTTTGTGCGCCCCCCCCCCCCCCGCTGTCCCGCCATGATGCGACACGGTATTTGCGCCACCCAAGGCAAAATCCTACCAACACATATTGAATGAATACTTACCAACTATGGCTCAGCTTTCCGTACGTCATTCTAAACTCGCTTAATTCACCCACACTAAAGAAGAAAAAAAGAGGGAGTAAAACGCGTGTTTTTGTTCCACATGGATAATCTTCATCTGTAGTGTAGTAAAGAGATGGAGTATTTGGTGAGTAATTCTGCCACACAGCCACAATTGTCATCTGGTTTGCTCCCGTTTCCTTTCTGGAAAACTCGGCCCTTCCCACATTCCTATCAATAATGCCGTTATTATCAATAATCAATAATGCCGTCGCCGTTCGTGACCGGGAACGCCGTGATAACGCAAGCGGAGTAGGGCAGGTATAGACAATGATAGTTTTGCACGAATGTGGCAGAAATACTCCCCAAATACTGGATTTTTTTGCGCTTTAAAAAGGATTGAGTAAGAAAGGGTGTCTTTTTGTCCCACAATAATCGCGAGTTTTAGAATAGCGCACCCCGAGCCCTTGCGGTGCGGTCGCTGCCACTGCGCATGCGTCGTAACGCGTGTCGGCGTTCGCGGACCGCACGCAAAAAAAAATCCGAAATTGCGTGCGGTGATGGCGGCCCGCATGTGGCCCGCAAGCGCTGGTTTCGAGGCTACGGTGTCGCTGTGATCGTGCGTTGCGGATCGCAGCAGGGCAAACGCTATTCTAAAACTCATATCGTGCCCGCTACGCCCGCAACGCTTGCAAACGGTATTCTAAAACTCCCTAATAATCAACCGGCTTGCTTGCGCTTCCTTTCTTGAAAACTCGGCGCTGGCCACTTTCCTATCAAGAAAGTTATGCCACGCTGGTGACACCATGTCGTTCGTGACCTAAAAGCGGCGGGCGCGCGGCGATAGTGCATGCAAGGACAATAACGCAAGATAGACGACTATTATTGTTGTGTGACAAAAAGACGCCCTTTTCACTCGATCTTTCCTTGGAGTGAACTGTCAGAATAAAGCGTGTAAAAAGAGCGTCTTTTACGTCTCATAACGACAGCGGTGATCTGTTTCGTCTTGTCTTTTCTCGCATTATTGCCGCGATGTGCTCAGCACTTTCCGGTATCGCAACGGCATGCACGTTATCAGATTGACTTGGCAGTTCTGAAAGGAGAGTATAGCGAGCGCCGAGTTTTCAAGAAAAAATAATAACTGTCGGGGGTTTTTTACGTCTCAAAACCACGCTGCGATCATGAGAGACACCGTAAAGTGAGTCTCCAGAAGTTTCGACCACATGGTTTTTTTTTTAACGGGCACCCATAACCAAGTGCACATTCACCGAAATGCGGCCACCGTGACAGTTTTAGCTTGTACATATGCTTCTTTACGTTACCGTGTTACCGGATAGAATCTGCGCATGCGCGTGTCTTTACGGAACGTAAACCTTTACGTAACGTAAACTACTCGCCGGATAGGCTTTACGTTCACGGCCCGGAGCAAGCCGCCTAGTCAAGACAAACCGAAGCGCCACCCCGCGACCTTCAAGCCAGCAGTCGAGCGCCCCAACTGTCACACCACTGCGGCAGATGCTTGGAGACAAAATGACACCATTTTTTTTTGCGCTCTTTTGTTCAATTGTGCGCATGGTCATTGGCAGGATTTTCTCGTGGGATGTTCAAACCAGTATTGCATTGCGGCTCGGGGAGGGGGAAAGTACTGGTATAGGATTGGGTTAGGGCAAGTACTGGTGAGGCTTTCCTATAAAGGCGGCTTGAGAAAAGTTGCTCCTGTAAGTCGTACCATCATGGCACATCTAGTATCCTTCGCACAAACGAAAACAGAGACGCACGCTTCCGGATCGACCGAAGGCACGTAGCGATCTGGCTGGCTCAGCCCGCTAAAGAATTCCCGTTGACCGCGAACCACACGTTCGACCCTGCTCATTGTTTGCACCTCCGTCGCTGGAGGTCGCGAACGACACGAGGCGCGCGCATGCGCCGTCGAGCGACGGGTGGCGCGGCGGCGGTCGCCAAGGAGAGAAGAGAAGCCATCGCGCTAGGCCTAACACGCGGGCGATGCTGCTCGCCGCGGCGGCGTCGCCCCGTCCAGGCCCGCTAGCGCAGTCCTCCTAGCGGGCGGCCGGCGGCGCACCGACCATGGTGGACCTCGGCGGATACGTCATCGTGATCGTAGAGACCACAGACCGCCGCATACGGCTGTACGGTACGTGGAGTTCCGAGAGCACGCAATTGTTGGCATGTCGCGATTTTTTATTTTTTTTTTTCGCGCAGACAACGTCAATACGAGGGCTTTCCCCGGGACTCGCGCTAGCGCGCGCATTCGACCGTGACTTTGGACGCAACAGCGCAAATTACCTGAGCCGCGAAAAGGGGCTGTCTCGTTTCATTTCATCGTGCGCATGGCTGATGCATAAGCGTCAGTCGGTTAACGCGAGTACACTGAAAAAGAAAGCGCGGCCCGTGTCCACGGTTGCGCATTGCTTCTTCTCTAGCTGGAGCTCGAACTGCAAAAGCCTTTATTTTTTTCCTCCCCCGCCACCGTTCGGCTTCCCAGCATCACACGCGTCTCCGGCGCCACCGTGCTTGCTTTTCCTCGCGAGCGCGCTCTTCGATGTGGGGGGGGGGGGATCAGAGGGAAAAAAGGGAGCAAGGGGAGGTCACGTGGTCGCCGCCGCTCCAGTAGGGATCGATGGGATGGCTGGCGTTCAGGTTCCTCTCCTACACGTGCGTCGCGCTGTGCTAGTCCCGGGGAAAGGCAAAAGGGAGCGATTCATTTTTTTTAATTTTTTTATGCATTGCTATTTTGGCATCGTGATCATAAGCGAAAAACAACTCCAGTGGTTCGCGCGTGCCTCGTTGTTCTGGCCGATGCGTGGCCGGCCAATGTGATTGTTTGTATGTCCTGTCCCTTTTCCTCGCCACTGTATCAGGATCGCCCGCGGATCGCGCGGACTTGGAAGTTGGGGACGAGATTCTCGAGGTGAACGGACGCTCCTTAGACAACTGCACCCACAACGAGGTGATCTCGCACATCCACCAATGCATCCGCTCCCGGACGGTGTGCCTTCGGGTACGCAGGAGGCCACGACTAGGTGAGAAAGGTTGCTTTTTTTTCCTTCTTCGAACGCCCCCGGCTATAGCTGTAAAGCTCGCACTCGTGCGTCCACGTGTTGCGCGTGATTGAAAGGCTTCGACGAAGTGACCGCCTCCTTCACATCATTGGTGAACGCCGCCGCTGACGCCGGAGCGCCACAGTTCGCAGTGTGGCAGAGGGTTCATAGGACTCTGGAGCGCGCAGAGGAACGCTTCGTGAAACGCCGGTTCGTTGGCCACAGCCGCATTTATAACGTTCCTGGAAGCGCCGCCCTGCGTCACTACTGTCCCACAATGGTCTAGCGCCCAGTAGACGAAAAACAGCTGGACTCCGCCCAGTTCCGACAGGCCCTCGAAGGACAGGCGAGTTCCTCCGAGTTCCTTGAAGACGCGCAACGCCGGTCTCAGGCCCGCCCACGCGGGCAGGGACTCCCGCACATCTTTACTGCGCTTCTGGCCGTCCAGACAGGACCGGGCACGTCGGACGTGGGCCGCGGCCGCCGGAGGTAGTGGTGGCAGGGCGGTGGGTTCGAGAGCCAGCAGCGACCGGAGTAGGCAGGTGGCGAGGCGGGCTCCCGCGCGCGAGAACTGCAGGGCCCCGACGACGCCTCCCGGTGTGGACTCGTTGAGCAGCAGTGGCGGCACGGCCAGTCTTCCGGAAGCCGCGTCCAAGACGCACGTCCGCTCCAGGGCCCAGCGCGCGGGCCAGGACTCGCGCGACACCCGCCTCTCGAGTTCGTATGCGGCTATGGCGACCCACGAACGAAGGGCCGCCTGTCCGCCTTTGGGTCTCGGAACAGCGTCTTCGAAGCGCGTGACGGCCATGGGGTTTTGCGACCACGGAGGACCGAACAACTGCAGTCTCGCTTTTCGCAGGACTTCAAGGTGCGCCGTGGATTCGCTCAGTAACGGCGTTTCGACCATGAGGTCTACGACTTGGTGGCGCACCGCGTTGACCAACTGGGCCGCCTGCTCCGCGAGGAACGCGGCGCCCGTCACGGCTCGCGCCGCCTCGAGCACCAAAGTGGGCGCGAAGGCCAGGGCGACGCCGAAACATTGGCGCCACCGGTCGCCGCGACCCGTGTGCTTCTCGTAAACGTCTAGTAGAGGTCCCGGTGGTGTAAGCGGCGCTGCCTGGAAGTGCAGTCTCAGCGCCAGATAGTTGAGTACAGCATCCGGCGGAGACCGTTTCACGATGTCGCGCAGGCGACGCACGTAACTGGGCGACAGCAAGGTCACCGAGGCGCCGCTGGGAAGTCCTCGCCGCACCTGGCCGACGAAAGCCCACAGCTCGCCCAACTGCGACGCGACGACCTTCGCCGTTAAGCCACTTCCGGCACCGTAGTACGCGGCGCGCTCCACGCGCAGGGCGAAGCGGACGGCGCCTTCGCCTTTGGCGCCAGTCAGAGCCTTGAAGGAAGTGGCGAGCGCGCGGTAAGCGCTTTCCGCGGCGTCCATGTCGCTGTCCTCGCTCAGCGTGTCCGGCAGTCCCAGGGCGACCGTACCGTCCGGCTTAACATGCACGGAGAGGAGCGCCGCGCAGCCGGAGTACGTTAGGACGCGCGCCGCGGCGCGCCAGATGGCCACGGAACCAGCTCGTGAGCCTGAGAACGGGAAGTCTCCCAGCGTGACCATGGGTAGCAGGTAGTCGACAAGCTGTCGGTCTCCGTTCTGCTTGTCTCGCACGCATTTCTCTAGTAGCGGTCCCACCGGTTTGCGACCTCGGAGCCACTGGAAGGCTTTCTGTTCAAGCTCTAGGACGTGGTCCTGGTCGGCTGACCGGGCAGCCGCGTTTCGAGCCCTCCAGCCCTGGCACGCGTACCGCTCGAAGTCCCGGCAGGGAGACGCGTCCCTGAGAGCCAAATGGCGGGCCAGGTACGCGCCGTCTCGCCGGCAGGGTGCTGAAGAGCATCGGCCGGCACCGGCCATGGAACGTTCGGAGAGCAGGCCTCCCTGCATAGAGTGCGCGTGACGCTGTGCCAGCTGATGGATGTCGTCACCGCCGTCGTGGTGAGCCGAGGAGATTCGGGGCGCGACGGCTAGGAGCGCCGCTAGGGTGCTAAGAACCGCGGACACGACGGCGGGGTAGCAGAGCAGTTGCCGTCGCGTTAGGAGTAGCGCTCCTCCGGAGAGCGCTCCTCTTCTCCCCCCGGCAAGCCTCGTGGACACATCACCGTGCTGGTCTCGGGGCGAACGACCTCGCCCACCTTCTACGAGCGGTTGCCGTTGTCTTCTAGAGGACGGCGCCACTGTGTACGTGTTGGTCGTCTCGGAGGTATCGGAGAGGTACACGAGGCTCATGTCTGGTGTTACCGAGAAAGGGTCCAGGTTGATCGTGGTCATCAGCGGCGCACGTGGCGTTGTCGTCTCCGTCGGCTTATTGCCTCCGAGAGTGTACGTGGAGTCGCCGACGCCGGTTGTCAGGGTGTACGTCTTCTCGGGTAGCGACGAGTTGTTTCTGGCCATGGTGTACGTCTTGCCCGTGCCGATGTCATCACCCATGCTGCGCGTCATGGCGATGCTGCGGCACCACGTGGCTGAATACCCGGCCGTGTCCTCGCCACTGCACGACGTCTGGATCGCGAGATTGGGTGACGGTGCCTCCGGGACGACATCGGGCGCGGCTGCGTGCTCTCCCGCTTTGGCGTCTTTGGTGACGACGTCGACGGTGCGCTCTGTGCCCGAGCTCCGACTGTGGGCGGCAACTGACTTTGTGGTTGTTGTGGCCGCTTTGTTCGGGGTCCAACGGCTCCCTCGGCGGCCCGGCCCAGAGGCCATGACCTTCTTCTTCTGACTTCAGTGCACTTAATGATAGTGATTACTGGCGCATACCCACTACTGATCCATGGCTTGGCCAAGAATCAATTCGAAAGCATTCTCAGAACACATTCAAAGGGACCAACAACTGCTAAGAACAAGAAATGATCTGACGGCACGGGTGGAAAGATAGTCCATCATAGTGACTGAAACCAACCCCATTTATTTCGCAAGAAGTGGAGTTATATTTTTATTTTTTCATTAAATATCACAAATATAGTGTGGCGCAACCTGGCGGCAGAAACTCTACCTATCCGAGCTGCCGCGTCACGTGACCGTAATTGAAATATTGTTTGCTTTTTTAGAGTAAAAGATACTACTCCATGATAATTTACTTATGATTGTAGATGACTATGATGACAAAATCCATGGTAAATTACTTGTACGGAGGATTCGGGTTTTCCCGATCAGTTCCGAGCAAGCTCCTCATTCACTTTGTGAAGATGGAGGGATTTTTTAAAAATTTTGCAGGCGTACGTGGGTACACGTAAACACACAAATACATAGACGAACATACATAAAGGTTGGTTGAGCTTTCGCCCCCCTTCTCCCCCTATATAATTTCCAGGTTGCGTCCCCGATCTTGGCCGGCGTACGTTACGTCGAATGCTGAGATCCCAACAGATGCGATCAAAATCTATGACGTAATGTTCAAAACACAAAACGAAAAAGTTGGTGGCGACAACGCCTGGAAGTTTCGCACCATCTCGCCACGTCACAGACATTTGTGGCGTTCGCTTTATTGTTTGATGGTAGAAATTAATGATATTATGTTGAACCCATGTGGACAAAGAACGAGGAAAAAAAAGAAAAACTTTGCAATCAGTCTCGTCACGCTAACATTAAGGTGCTAGGTTTCTGGCGCAGAACTTCAAACATAAAAACTTTATATTGATTTTTTTTTTGCGTCTTCTTGCTAAAAGTGCTGTGATTTTCAGTCTGTTAAACGGCAATCTACTACTAATTTTAAAACAAATGTTTTTTTTTTCTCTTAACGACCCTTGACTATCTTAGATTACCAATTTTGTTTTAATATTTATCAATTGAATATTTTCTGTCATCGTGCTGCGATAAAAGGCTGGCGCGCAGATGTTGCTCATTAAAAAATATACGTAAATAACCAACTTTATAGAGAGCACAGACGTTGCTAGTGGGGGACGGCGTCCGGAAATTTTTTTACGTCTTAATCGTCGGCATCTATAGAGTTATATTAACCATTTTGTGTACAGAAGATTCTAGGACCTTGGACATCTGCCTCAGTTGCGCAGAAAGTGACTAAAGCACTCCTAGTTTACTTAAAGTCAACAAACCTGAGCGACCGCCTGTAGACTGTGTGTGCTCGTGATTGTGTGTACCTTCTTATCTCTCTGCAACCTCTTTTTTTCCCTTCATCCCTTCCCCAGTGCAGGGTAGCAAACCGGATGTGCGTCTGGTTAACCTCCCTGCCTTTCCTTGCATCTATATATATATATATATATATATATATATATTATATATATATATATATATATATATATATGTGTGTGTGTGTGTGTGTGTGTGTGTGTGTGTCGGTATCGGAACACGGGAGCTCGCATTGACTGCCGTTTCAATTCCACAACAAAGCACTTTCCGATGGCAAATATTCCGCAGATATTAGCCGAGCCGCGAGGTTAAATTCTTGAAAGAATTTGCCATTTGCAGTGACCCACCTGGGAACTCAGTAACAATGTATTTGAAAGAACGCATCGCATCAGGGGCCAGTCGCGTTGTGAAAGAGGGAATAAGCTTCTGGGTAGTGGCGCAACATACATCCACGCGTTGTTACCTCTTTGTCCAGGTAGCGCCACAAGTCATCACGTAAACGTAGGATATCTGACATTGCTTAACTTGCCTAATGCAATTGCTTGCCATCGTTTCATTTATGTCATTAACCGAACACCAGTGTGACGCTATATCCTGCGCTGGTCGTCGTCTGACGCAGAGGTAGAAGTTTTTTTTTTTTTCAAGCGTAAATATGGGAAAGCAAAATACAAGAGGTAAAAAGCAGGCCATTTCACCTGAGAGACACCTGCCGACAGGTGCACGAAAGTTAGCTGTGCCCCGTTTGAAGTGCAGCAGCACAAGCTGGGCGAAGCGGCGGCCAAAGGAAGGAGTGGGGAGGGATCAGTAGTTCTCGCGATTTGTTTTTGTTGTTTCGCCG